ATGTTTTTAATGTGCTGAATAAAGTGTCTTTATTCAAGATGTTTTTAATGTGCTGAATAAAGTGTCTTTATTCAAGATGTTTTTAATGTGCTGAATAAAGTCTGTCTTTATTTCAGATGTTTTTAATGTGCTGAATGAAGTGTCTTTATTCAAGATGTTTTTAATGTGCTGAATAAAGTCTGTCTTTATTTCAGATGTTTTTAAGTTGCTGAATAAAGTGTCTTTATTCAAGATGTTTTTAATGTGCTGAATAAAGTCTGTCTTTATTTCAGATGTTTTTAACGCGCTGAATAAAGTGTGTGTTTATTTAAGATGTTTTTAATGTGCTGAATAAAGTGTCTTTATTCAAGATGTTTTTAATGTGCTGAATAAAGTGTCTTTATTCAAGATGTTTTTAATGTGCTGAATAAAGTGTCTTTTTTCAAGATGTTTTTAATGTGCTGAATAAAGTGTCTCTTTATTTCAGATGTTTTTAATGTGCTGAATAAAGTGTGTCTTTATTTCAGATGTTTTTAATGTGCTGAATAAAGTGTCTTTATTCAAGATGTTTTTAATGTGCTGAATAAAGTGTCTCTTTATTTCAGATGTTTTTAATGTGCTGAATAAAGTGTGTCTTTATTTCAGATGTTTTTAATGTGCTGAATAAAGTGTCTTTATTCAAGATGTTTTTAATGTGCTGAATGAAGTGTCTTTATTCAAGATGTTTTTAATGTGCTGAATAAAGTCTGTCTTTATTTCAGATGTTTTTAAGTTGCTGAATAAAGTGTCTTTATTCAAGATGTTTTTAATGTGCTGAATAAAGTCTGTCTTTATTTCAGATGTTTTTAACGCGCTGAATAAAGTGTGTGTTTATTTCAGATGTTTTTAACGTGCTGAATAAAGTGTGTGTTTATTTCAGATGTTTTTAACGTGCTGAATAAAGTGTGTTTATTTCAGATGTTTTTAACGTGCTGAATAAAGTGTGTGTTTATTTCAGATGTTTTTAATGTGCTGAATAAAGTGTGTGTTTATTTCAGATGTTTTTAATGTGCTGAATAAAGTGTGTGTTTATTTCAGATGTTTTTAACGTGCTGAATAAAGTGTGTTTATTTCAGATGTTTTTAACGTGCTGAATAAAGTGTGTGTTTATTTCAGATGTTTTTAATGTGCTGAATAAAGTGTGTGTTTATTTCAGATGTTTTTAATGTGCTGAATAAAGTGTGTGTTTATTTCAGATGTTTTTAACGTGCTGAATAAAGTGTGTTTATTTCAGATGTTTTTAACGTGCTGAATAAAGTGTGTGTTTATTTCAGATGTTTTTAATGTGCTGAATAAAGCGTGTGTTTATTTCAGATGTTTTTAACGTGCTGAATAAAGTGTGTGTTTATTTCAGATGTTTTTAATGTGCTGAATAAAGTGTGTGTTTATTTCAGATGTTTCTAATGTGCTGAATAAAGTGTGTGTTTATTTCAGATGTTTTTAATGTGCTGAATAAAGTGTGTGTTTATTTCAGATGTTTTTAATGTGCTGAATAAAGTGTGTGTTTATTTCAGATGTTTTTAACGTGCTGAATAAAGTGTGTGTTTATTTCAGATGTTTCTAATGTGCTGAATAAAGTGTGTGTTTATTTCAGATGTTTTTAATGTGCTGAATAAAGTGTGTTTATTTCAGATGTTTTTAACGTGCTGAATAAAGTGTGTGTTTATTTCAGATGTTTTTAATGTGCTGAATAAAGTGTGTGTTTATTTCAGATGTTTTTAACGTGCTGAATAAAGTGTGTGTTTATTTCAGATGTTTTTAACGTGCTGAATAAAGTGTGTGTTTATTTCAGATGTTTTTAACGTGCTGAATAAAGTGTGTGTTTATTTCAGATGTTTCTAATGTGCTGAATAAAGTGTGTGTTTATTTCAGATGTTTCTAATGTGCTGAATAAAGTGTGTGTTTATTTCAGATGTTTTTAATGTGCTGAATAAAGTGTGTGTTTATTTCAGATGTTTTTAATGTGCTGAATAAAGTGTGTGTTTATTTCAGATTTTTTTTACGTGCTGAATAAAGTGTGTGTTTATTTCAGATGTTTTTAACGTGCTGAATAAAGTGTGTGTTTATTTCAGATGTTTTTAACGTGCTGAATAAAGTGTGTGTTTATTTCAGATGTTTTTAACGTGCTGAATAAAGTGTGTGTTTATTTCAGATGTTTTTAATGTGCTGAATAAAGTGTGTGTTTATTTCAGATGTTTTTAACGTGCTGAATAAAGTGTGTGTTTATTTCAGATGTTTTTAACGTGCTGAATAAAGTGTGTGTTTATTTCAGATGTTTTTAACGTGCTGAATAAAGTGTGTGTTTATTTCAGATGTTTTTAACGTGCTGAATAAAGTGTGTGTTTATTTCAGATGTTTTTAACGTGCTGAATAAAGTGTGTGTTTATTTCAGATGTTTTTAATGTGCTGAATAAAGTGTGTGTTTATTTCAGATGTTTTTAATGTGCTGAATAAAGTGTGTGTTTATTTCAGATGTTTTTTAACGTGCTGAATAAAGTGTGTGTTTATTTCAGATGTTTTTAACGTGCTGAATAAAGTGTGTGTTTATTTCAGATGTTTTTAACGTGCTGAATAAAGTGTGTGTTTATTTCAGATGTTTTTAACGTGCTGAATAAAGTGTGTGTTTATTTCAGATGTTTTTAACGTGCTGAATAAAGTGTGTGTTTATTTCAGATGTTTTTAACGTGCTGAATAAAGTGTGTGTTTATTTCAGATGTTTTTAACGTGCTGAATAAAGTGTGTGTTTATTTCAGATGTTTTTAACGTGCTGAATAAAGTGTGTGTTTATTTCAGATGTTTTTAACGTGCTGAATAAAGTGTGTGTTTATTTCAGATGTTTTTAACGTGCTGAATAAAGTGTGTGTTTATTTCAGATGTTTTTAACGTGCTGAATAAAGTGTGTGTTTATTTCAGATGTTTTTAACGTGCTGAATAAAGTGTGTGTTTATTTCAGATGTTTTTAACGTGCTGAATAAAGTGTGTGTTTATTTCAGATGTTTTTAACGTGCTGAATAAAGTGTGTGTTTATTTCAGATGTTTTTAACGTGCTGAATAAAGTGTGTGTTTATTTCAGATGTTTTTAACGTGCTGAATAAAGTGTGTGTTTATTTCAGATGTTTTTAACGTGCTGAATAAAGTGTGTGTTTATTTCAGATGTTTTTAATGTGCTGAATAAAGTGTGTGTTTATTTCAGATGTTTTTAACGTGCTGAATAAAGTGTGTGTTTATTTCAGATGTTTTTAACGTGCTGAATAAAGTGTGTGTTTATTTCAGATGTTTTTAATGTGCTGAATAAAGTGTGTGTTTATTTCAGATGTTTTTAACGTGCTGAATAAAGTGTGTGTTTATTTCAGATGTTTTTAATGTGCTGAATAAAGTGTGTGTTTATTTCAGATGTTTTTAATGTGCTGAATAAAGTGTGTGTTTATTTCAGATGTTTTTAATGTGCTGAATAAAGTGTGTGTTTATTTCAGATGTTTTTAACGTGCTGAATAAAGTGTGTGTTTATTTCAGATGTTTTTAATGTGCTGAATAAAGTGTGTGTTTATTTCAGATGTTTTTAACGTGCTGAATAAAGTGTGTGTTTATTTCAGATGTTTTTAATGTGCTGAATAAAGTGTGTGTTTATTTCAGATGTTTTTAATGTGCTGAATAAAGTGTGTGTTTATTTCAGATTTTTTTTTACGTGCTGAATAAAGTGTGTGTTTATTTCAGATGTTTTTAACGTGCTGAATAAAGTGTGTGTTTATTTCAGATGTTTTTAACGTGCTGAATAAAGTGTGTGTTTATTTCAGATGTTTTTAACGTGCTGAATAAAGTGTGTGTTTATTTCAGATGTTTTTAATGTGCTGAATAAAGTGTGTGTTTATTTCAGATGTTTTTAACGTGCTGAATAAAGTGTGTGTTTATTTCAGATGTTTTTAACGTGCTGAATAAAGTGTGTGTTTATTTCAGATGTTTTTAACGTGCTGAATAAAGTGTGTGTTTATTTCAGATGTTTTTTAACGTGCTGAATAAAGTGTGTGTTTATTTCAGATGTTTTTAATGTGCTGAATAAAGTGTGTGTTTATTTCAGATGTTTTTAATGTGCTGAATAAAGTGTGTGTTTATTTCAGATGTTTTTAATGTGCTGAATAAAGTGTGTGTTTATTTCAGATTTTTTTTTACGTGCTGAATAAAGTGTGTGTTTATTTCAGATGTTTTTAACGTGCTGAATAAAGTGTGTGTTTATTTCAGATGTTTTTAACGTGCTGAATAAAGTGTGTGTTTATTTCAGATGTTTTTAACGTGCTGAATAAAGTGTGTGTTTATTTCAGATGTTTTTAACGTGCTGAATAAAGTGTGTGTTTATTTCAGATGTTTTTAATGTGCTGAATAAAGTGTGTGTTTATTTCAGATGTTTTTAACGTGCTGAATAAAGTGTGTGTTTATTTCAGATGTTTTTAACGTGCTGAATAAAGTGTGTGTTTATTTCAGATGTTTTTAACGTGCTGAATAAAGTGTGTGTTTATTTCAGATGTTTTTAACGTGCTGAATAAAGCGTGTGTTTATTTCAGATGTTTTTAACGTGCTGAATAAAGTGTGTGTTTATTTCAGATGTTTTTAACGTGCTGAATAAAGTGTGTGTTTATTTCAGATGTTTTTAACGTGCTGAATAAAGTGTGTGTTTATTTCAGATGTTTTTAACGTGCTGAATAAAGTGTGTGTTTATTTCAGATGTTTTTAATGTGCTGAATAAAGTGTGTGTTTATTTCAGATGTTTTTAACGTGCTGAATAAAGTGTGTGTTTATTTCAGATGTTTTTAACGTGCTGAATAAAGTGTGTGTTTATTTCAGATGTTTTTAATGTGCTGAATAAAGTGTGTGTTTATTTCAGATGTTTTTAACGTGCTGAATAAAGTGTGTGTTTATTTCAGATGTTTTTAATGTGCTGAATAAAGTGGAGCAGGCTGGCTGCGTGGGATCAGCAGGTCAGGTGGAGCCGCTCTGTCTCCCCCTCCTGCCCTCACAGCCAGCCCGCCGCTGCCTCCTTCTCCTTCATTATTTTCGCCTCAGCTTCTCGCAGTTTAAAATGGCGGCGTTGAGCAGCGCCGAGTCTCCACCGCCCGTCTTCAACGGAGACGCCACGGAGCGGGAGAGCGGCCTGGAGGAGCTGGGCCCGGGTTTGGACTCTTCGTGCTCGTCGGCGGTTCACGGAGATCCGCAGGAAGAGGAGGTAAGCGCTGCGGCGGCGCGGGGTGAGGACTTAGCCCGCTTGGTGTGGAGCTAATGGGATGGAAACGTCCAGGAAACACCGGCTGGGGAGGGGGATGCTAACGCTGGGTGCGGGACCAGAAACGGAACCTGCCCGGTCCGCTTGGGTCCCGGTGAGGCAGCGAGATGCAGCGGCAGAGAGAGAAGTTTCCTCCGGAGGAGTCAGTGTTTATGTGGGGCCTGCTTTATCCCAGCTGCTGCTTCTCCAGCCGGGAAGCGCAGCCGCTGCTCACCCCGCTGACTGCGGAGACCTGTGCATTGTGAGTGCAGAGGGCTTCATCTGATCCAGATGGTTCACGGCTGATTGTGCTGATGGAGGCTAGCTGAAGTCGTGCTTCTTGTTGGCCGCATTTGCTCCTTCCTAAACACCATGGGTTTTTTTTCTGTCCCAGCTGCAGGAAGAGCGTCTGATCAGGAAGCATCAGGCCTGTCCTTTCCTTCCAGACAGCTGCCTGCTCTATAAACACAGCTCTAAATCATCAACCAGGAGGCTATGGAAACTTTAGCAAACCAAAGCTATCTAGGATTTATTTTCTAAGCTTTTATAGATCCTTGTCCTGTTTTAGTAGAGAGGAAGACTGTCAGACTTTAGCATAAAGTTGTGCAGCTTTTATAAGTTGCTGTCTGAATGCTGGGGCCTTGTTTGGAGGCTCAGTCAGCTTCAACATGTCTGGGCCCCAAATTCTAGTCAGTTTATTTCTATAGCTCCAATTCACATCATGTCATCTCAGGTCACTTTCCAGTTCACCAGATCATCCAGTCAGATTGATTCAAAGTTTTCTATCTAAGGAAAACCAGCTGATTGCATCAAGTCATTGACTCTTCAGCAATCCCTCACACTAAGCATGCTTGTAGCGACAGTGGAGAGGAAAAACTCCCTTTGAACAGGAAGAAACCTCCAGCAGAACCAGGGTCAGTGTGAGCGGCCATCTGCTGAGGCCCACTGGGGTTCAAGGGAACAGAAGCAGACATAGAAAAAGAAGCATAGATACAAAAGGCAGCTGTCAACCAGCTCCACAGGCGGCCCCGTCCAGGAAACACACAGCCAGGCAGACGAGCTCCGAGCCAGCTCCCATGTCAGAGGATGAAGAGAGCACATCCAGTTAGACACAGTCAGAGAAACAGGACTACACTGGAAAACAGGCCGATCTCCAACATCTAGAAACAAAGATGTTGATGGCAGCAGCACAGCTGATGTTTCTCTCCAGGATGGAGTCACAGCCAAACAGGAACAGACCAGATGAAGCTACAATGAGAAAAAGCAGAGAGAGCAGAACGTTAGAGATTGAACTGACAGATTCTGCAGAGTGGGAGAATAGAGATAGAATGAAGCAGAATAGTGAAAAAGGGGTCCCTATGTCCTCCAGCAGTCTAAGCCTATAGCAGCATAACTATAGAGATAGCTCAGGATAACCTGAGCCACTCTAACTATAAGCTTTATCAAAAAGGAAAGTTTTAAGCCTGGCCTTAAAAGTAGACAGGGTGTCTGCCTCACGGACTAAAAGTGGTAGTTGGTTCCACAGGAGAGGAGCCTGATAACTAAAAGATCTGCCTCCCATTCTACTTTTAGAAATTCTAGGAACCACTAGTAAACCTGCAGATTGAGAGCGAAGTGCTCTGTTAGGAACATAAGGAACAATCAGATCTCTGATATAAGATGGAGCTTGGGTAGCATTAACTCCTGTAACTCACCATCAGTGCTTTATTTGGGCACTTTGGAGACAACATCTAAAATCGGCGAACTCTGCTCTCCAGAGCGAGTAGATTGGTAACCCCGCCTCCTGCTCTCCTCTATCTTGTCTGCTGTCATGATTCATGCAGCTATTATTTCATCCAAATGAAAAATGGAGAACAGAGAAGCAGATCATGGCTTGTCTACAGTGAAAAGAAGGACTGGGTTATTTACTTTGGCCTTTTTGGAAACACAGGAAGGAGCAATCAGCTAAGTGAGCTTAGTGCTTGGAAAAAATCTTTCATTCCTTTAGAGACAGCATGAAAAGTCAGCTGAGTACAAAACATAGAGAGGAAAACAAGAAGAAAAGGGACAAGAAGAGAGGGACACAACCTAGAACAGATAATGGATGTCTATTCTATTAACATGTCTCTATCTGTAGAATGGGGATGTTTTATGTGCTGTCTTCTCAGTTTAGAGGGCCCCCTGCCTGTCTTTGCCTAGGGCCCCACATTTCCTAAATCTGCCCCTGCTTGCACAGATCTATGTTTTCGGCGCAAATGTGAGTAAAACGCTGGTACTGTACCGCCCTGTCTTAAAGTGTGACTACTGCTCCAAACTGTGTCGTTTCTAAAGTGGGCTGACCTTCAACATCTATAATCAAAGGAAGCTTTAATTTTACTAACAACATTGATGGAGAGAATGTTAAGGTGCAGCCAAGGTGGATGCCATGGTCCTGTTGGCTCTATGATGGAAGTCTAGAGCGCCATCTCTCTGTTGGGAAGATGTCCTGCCCTAAGGGGACAAATCGAGTATCTAGGGTTTAACCCTTTAAAGGCCAAGTTGGCATCGTTGATCCCTCGCATCCCCCTTCCAAATGGAGCCCCCCCCCCCCCCCATCCCTCAGTGAGGTCTAGAAGCACTAGATCTATATACAGCCATTCAGCATAGATGCTGCTACATGGCTGTACATCTTATTTTGGCATTTGACCAATTAGATGAGCCCTTGAATGATATATTACCTACTGGAAATTAAGTTGGAAAAAAAGTAACAAGAATAAAAGGTAAAAAGATAATTGAAAAGTTAAAAAGATAATAAGCCTTGTTAATAATTATATTTAGGTTTATAAACGGTAAAATTAAAGTGCCAGTATCAGCATTAAAGCATTTAAGGTTATGTTGGACCAAAGAAAAAATGTATTTCTTTCACTCTGTTTTTCATGAATTTCTTCTAGAAGTACTTTGGTTATTTTTTCTTAATATATTTGGGCTTTTCTTGTTATTACATAAACATTCATTTTTGCCATCAAAATATCTATATTTTTTGAATGTTATAAAGGTAATAAGGTCTTGTCCTGGATTCCAATAATAGTATTTTCTTCAAATTTTGATTATCAAAGTGTTTCACTTAGTGCCCTATAAAGCGTTAAAGCTACAGTGTGTAACTTTTAGCGACATCTAGCGGTCAGACTGCAGACTGCAGCAACATGAACACCCCCCCCCCCCCCCCCCCCCCCCACCGCTTCTCCCCCCCAACAGTACGGCGAGCGTTACGGGACAAAATGTCTTCCACGACGTCCGCATCACCTACCTTCTCAAGTGATGAGGTTTGTTTACATAGATAATTTTACAGATACTATTTCATTAGTCTGTGTAGGGTATAGATTTCATGTAGACTTAAACAACTTGCCGTAGTTACTTTCGAGCGTAATGGGCGATCTCGCAATCGCTAGTTTGTTGGCTCTGCGCTGCCGTAGCGCAAAGATGTCTGCCTCCATGGCTGCGAGACCCGCTCCTATGTAATTATAAATAACGAATTCTAAGGCAACGCGAATATTAAGGTTAAGAGGCTGAGCTCGTAGATGATGATAAATAACATAGTTATGTATAATATATTACATTTCTGACTGTATATCCCTGTAATTATTACACACTGTAGCTTTAACAGAAGACAATTTTAAATCACATGGGTGTTCAAGTAATGGTACACTTCAAAAGTCTAAAGCCAGGCGTACACTGTAAGATTTTTTCCCTTTTCAGGCTGATTCTCCAGCCATGAGATCATTTTTGAGAGGCTTATAGCCTCATGGAGCGTCTTGCATTGCGTAGCTATAGAGTGGGTAACGAGGGGCGATCAGCCTCTCATGAAAACCTCCCCATCAGGAATCGTAAGGACGGCAGAAAATCAAACATGTTTGAAATTTGGTCGGACATCGTAAGGTGGTCGTGTATAGATCCTGCTGTTGAAGCAGAGCTACGATCCGATTTAGAATAACTTTGAGCAGTGCGTATGTGCAAACAAGGGAGTTCTTCCCCTGCTTCCTCCAGATTGATCAGTCTGATCAGCACCATCTCTTGGCGCCCTTAACCCCTGCGCCCTTATGTTACCATGGTACAGTTTGAGCTGTAACTGCGTGCAAGGATTGAAAATATCCCGGCTTAAGAGACACATTTTTCTTCACTCGAGCCCTTTAGGCAGCAGTAATATCTTTAAAATGGGTTTAAACATCCTGTAAGCAAACAGAGCTATGCATGCAGGTAGAAGTCAGCATTTCCAAATAGGGCTAAATAATTTTGTCAAAAATGAAAATTGCGATCATTTTAATCCAATTTTACAAATGTAATTTTATTTTGAATTTCCCTTGCATTAAATGTTTCACCACAGGGTTTCACTTCTTTCATGTTCAGTCCTTTTTTGCAGGACTTAACTACTGCAACAAGGGACTTTGTAGCTGTTTGTCAAGAAGTGATAAATTCTACCTGTATGCATGAATTTGCAGGTTAGCAGCACCTCTCTCTTCCTATCTGTGTGGTTGCAAACCCACTTTATTAACGCCAAATAAAGGGCTGGAGGGAAACATTTGGCAACCTACTCTTTAATTGTAATAAAACCAAAATTGATTGCCTCTGCGATTGTGTTTCGCTGACATGAAGGGTTTATAACATTCTTCATTTTGCAGCGGATGACTTTTTAGGTGCTGGAATAAATTTGTACCGCTACCTTTTGCAGCAATGGTTTTTGCTGTACGGCTTACAAATTAGCGCCTGTAGTTCATCGTCTTCGGCGTGAAATCCAGACCGCTGCCATATATTGCTCAGCTGAAACAGCTGCTGTCGCCATGTTTCAGTTAATGGTTGCTGTAGTGTGCGACCCTGTTGGGAGGACAGACCTATGATGCATTCAAAGTGTGTGGGAAAAATAAAACTCTCAGAGCAGTAGATGCAGACTGCTTCATTTTATTATGCAAATTTGTACTCAATGGCTGCGATTGAGTTATTTTAACTATTGT